AAAAAAAAAAAAAAAGAATACTCCCCAAAGTAACAAAAAGAACAAACAAAAACCCCAGTGTTCCCCAACTAAATAATTATGGTGTTGCCAAAGCTTATAGGGATTGAGATGAAAACATTTCTTTGGGATCTTGTTCCAGGATTTAAATAGGTCTTCCAACCTGAGGTTCTTCATTCTATCTAACCAACATGTGAACAGTGTTAAGCCCATATTCTCCATTTCCATCTGTGGGGAAATGGGAACTCCCAGTCAGCCTCCAGGAGACAATTCTCCCATCTACGGAGAGATCTGAGCCTTCCCTACACTGGTAAGAACCCTCCATGGTAGATGACAATCAAACGTGCTACCCACCTCCCCTCACCTATAACCTCCAGGTCACAGTCTCACCTATAACCTCCAGGGTTCTCAGATACAAATGGATGGCTGTAGGGACAATTTCTTTCCAGCAACTGCTACAAAGAAGAGTTCTTGGGGGAAGCTACAGGTTAGTAACACTCAAAATGTGGTAACTTAGGATCTATCATTGTCCACAATATTTAGCTGTATTGCACTCAAAAGCTGGGGATTCTGTCCTCAAACATCTGTTCCGCAGAGCCTGGTGTGGCACCTGCCTTGCTTCCATGGCCAATTAACTCCAGCCACAGGCCAGAGAGCTGTTTTCCTGTCTTTCTAACCAAGAATAGGGAGGGCCGAAGCAACTGAGGTTGCCTTTACGTGGTTATAGATTCTGGTTTCGGTTAAATACATTAACAATGAAGTTACTGAATTCGGCCAAGACAAGTATGTCCCAGTTCACAGATCTGACCTTGATCGATACAGAACTGTTTTGGCCTTTTATATAGAGATAGCCACATAATATTCCAATTATGTCAACTCCTATTTATAAACCACTTAATTATATTTAATATGCTTTAACTTGCTCCTGGGTCCTCTAAATATTCTTACATCTTTCCTTTCTCATGAGAAACAAAAATAGGAACGTGAGTGTGATAATCATGTGACCCTCCTGTGGAACGGTCACATACAAAGGATGACATTATGGTAACTGAGCATCTATACCAGTTACTATTAAACGATGGTGGTGGTAATTGCTGGTGGTTAACTGCGGCGGTTCAATCATGTAACTAACTTCTCTTAATTTATGAAAGGGTCCAACAGTCATAAATGCTTTTTTGGGGAGGAAGGGAGAAATCTTTATTTTAATCATAATATCGCTGAAAGTAGATTTCCCTTGGGGCACCTGGGTGGCTCAGTTGGTTAAATGTCTGACCCTTGATTTCGGCTCAGGTCATGATCTCCGGGTCATGAGATTGAGTCCTGCCTCTGGCTCTGCTCTGGGCATGGAGTCTGCTTGATATTCTCTCTCTCCCTCTCCTTCTGCCCCTATCCCCACCCCTCCCTGTCGCTCTTAAAAAAAGTAGATTTCCCTTTGCTGCATTTTCCATCTGCATGCACCACTAGTCAAAGCCTAATAACCCCAGAAAGGAGAAGGACTTGGGACAATGAACCTGAGGATTAGGGTGCCCAATTTGCTGAACACGTGATTCATAATGAGAGGAAAATATGAACACATTAATAAAAATACCAACATGGAATATTTTCAGGTAGATAGGGTTTTTAGCGAACACTCTAAATTCACAGCCTATTTGACTATCAAAATGCCTATGAAAGCATGAACAGTTTATGAAGACAGTAAGATGACTAATGAAGAATATTCTTTGCTTTCTATTGGGAACTTTTGTTTGCTTCTAACTGTTTAATTTCTCCTCCATCTCTCTTTCAATTAACCTCCCTGTTTGTATTCAATGAGATGGCACATAATATGGAGAAAGAAAAAAAAATCTTGCTGATTTATGAGTGCTCTTTCACGAAGTGGCAGCTTCTTTCAGCCAGATGTGTAAGTGTTGAAACTGAGAGGAAATGCACAGAGCAGTAACTATCCCAAATGAGAAAATATACTGTACTTTCCTGGGTTGTTTAAATCTGTGGCTCACAAAGGCCTCTTTTTAAATGGCCCCTTAGGCTTCACTGTGGACATATACACAGGTTGTAAATAGACAGAAACAAGTAATTGGATTCTTTGCAAGCTGAAACTTGGAATAAGTAGCTCTAATCGTATAGGAGAGCAAAACGGTGATCTGAGGTTCTCTACATCTTTTAAAAGGTCCGCTCTGAAGATTCATTTTTAAATGAAGCAGGTCCTTTATTTCCACATCGTTACTCATATGGAGTATAAGAGCAACAAAATAAAATAAAACAATAGAAAATGGAATTGTTAACAACCACAGCAAGATATGCTAAGTTATCCAAAAAAGACCTGCTACTAACAAACATCCTATGTGTTCCCAGACAACTGAGAAGTTGTTCAAGAAGAGTTCATCTGTGGGAAACTAACCATGTACTATTGTCATGGTCAGTGAGGACACTAACAGGATGATTTATTTAGTAACTATAGGTTGGCAAGTTAAATTTACCTATGGAAAACTTTACAGCACACTTCTTGCTTTTCCAAGCTGTATATTCATGTGTTCGCTGTACTTCCTAGGATCCATACGGTGAAAAACATTCCCCCCTCCACGCACCCCAGCTAGAATCAGTTCATTTCTGATGGGTATGGGGGCGGTGGGGTCATACATAATTTGATGGAGTATGATTAGAGGTCTATTTGTCCTGCCCTGCCTCTGGTAATATGGGCATTCTGAGATTTGGGGCATGGAGCTGTTTGGTCTTATGCGCGCTGCATTATCCTCTCTATGTCCACAGAAAGATACACAGACTGTGGTTGTCAACTTTTTCTGTTTTACTGTAGTTCACGAGTGTGGTTCACATAAACAACAGGCAGCCACTGCCCTAGACTCCTGTCTTAAAGAGTAGAGGAGGGGAAAGCCGTATCAAACTCGTGGGGATGGGCACTCTGCGAGTGCCAGGAATATGTGCACTTGCAGTTTTCCCCTGTGGGAACCCTACGCTTCCTGGATGTAAGGCGGTAAGCTCCCATTCAACAAGTGAGACCCTACGGACGGTTCCCAGGTGAGAGTTAACACAACACGGCTGGCCTGTAGAAGTCTGCAGGGCTGGCTGTCGGCTGGCATCTGGAAAATTGGATGTTCTCTACAATGAGAAGGTGATTTTGCCTACCGGGAGAATCTTCTCCTCGGAGAATCTGGAATTTTGGTGGCTGTGGCTGACAGAGGCTCCTTCTTAGAGCAGCCCTAATAAAAAGCTCAGTCTCAAATGGGCTTCCCTCAGCAGAAGCATGTGTTCCTTGCACACATGTTGGTATAGTTCCCTGTGGGAGAAAGGTACATGCTCCATGTGACCTCTCTTGGTGAGAGAGAAAGAACACAGGAAGCCTGTGCATGGATTTCTCCAAACACCACCTGATGGGTCTTTTCCCTTTCTGGTAACTATTATAGTCATGAGCACAAGCGCCCTGAGTCTGTGAGCCCTCCTGTGGATCATCACATGTGGGAGTAGGGGCATCACCACCCTTAAAAGAGATGCCAGGAATGTCACTAAGATGGGAAAGGACCTTACTTGAAGTTCTGTAATGACTGTGACAATTTATAAGATGTATGTGATTTCAACTTTCCCATGAAAAAATTCCTAGCTAGCCAGTTCCTGTAAGCAGGAAAGTAAAGTACATAATACTTAGAGCTGCACTGGAAGAAGAAATCTTTTCAGATAGTGAGACTCCCTCCAACAGCTTTATCAAATTATACCCTATGGACATAAAACACCATACCTCAGATTGTGAAATTTTTGTGGGACTGGGCCATTTATAATGGACGTTGTACACTTTCACGGAAGTAAGGTAGACATTGGCTACTTACGTTTGTTATATTTTAATTTCAGTGACTCAAACAGTAAAAAACAAAGGCACTGAATACCCTGAAAATATGGTACTGTGTATGTTCTGGACACTTCTGCATCCATGCTAACTACCGTTTTTGTACCAACATTCTGATCTTAAAACACTTGCTTGTTTTATTTAACCTACGGACTTTCACCAACATCATATGTGAAGAAGTGTTAGCAAATAACTTTAAGAACATCTAGGCTTGTGCATTTCATTCTATTTTATTTCTTGTGCTACTACAAAATAAAGTCATAAAAAAATCAAACCTCTTTTTTGAAAGACTCAAACATATCGACAGGTGCTAAGGTGTGTGGTGCTCGAATCTAGAGAAGCCAAAAAGGCCCCCTATGTGGCATCTCTTTTAAAGTAAAAAATACTGCGGTTATGCAACGGCCCTATGGAACACGGAAAAATAATATTCAGTGAAAGCGTCTGTATAAGAAAGAAATGAAATCATCCTCGGATGAGTCCATTTTTGTAGCCATCACAAAACAGTGAGTAAAAAATCCCTATACTTCATGCTCGTGACATATGCGCGGAAAAAGAACCGAACTGCCTGTGCAACATGATGGTCTCACTTGAAAACACAATTCCTTTTTAAGAAAGACGAGTGAAAATTAATGAGAGGAAATCAGCTTTCTCCAAGCGGGGGGTCAAACAGCCAGCAACCCGAGCGCTCCCCTCCCCGCCGCCGCCGC